TTGTCAGGACTGGTCTTGGAAACAAAAAACAAACAAAAAAACTACTTTCAACTGTGGTTATGTAGTAGGCTTCCTAACTAATAAGACCAATTTCCAATCCACCATAATTCAAATAAATAGAGATGTGCATGTCTCAAGAACAATGGGGAAAAACACAACAACAACAAATATAAAAAAGAAAAGCAAAAAAACAAAAACAAAAAACAGGGCCCCAAACTCAAGTTCACCTAGGGCCCACAAATTTTTAACTCCACCACTGGTTCTTGCAAAGAGAATCTAAATCTTACATTACCCTTTAAAGATATTAAAATGTACTGCTCTTTTTAGTGTTTGAAAAAAAAAAAAAAAGGTTCCATAGTGCTCCTTTAACGTGGCCCCAGTGGTGAGTGGTGAGAACTTTCCGGTGGCTGACAGGAGCCTTGGTGTCGGGCTCTGACGGGGGGTAGTTTGGTCGTGAGTGTGTCCTGTGTTTGGCCTCTGCTCTGTGTGTGTGGATAAGTCCAGTGTGAATGGAGCAGCAAATGCAGCGCTTCTATTGTGCTGAAGTGCTGAGCCAGCTCCAGGCAACAGACCCCGCTCACCCCCACCCGCTCACCCCTCACCCCCGCTCACCCCCAGCTCACCCCCAGCTCACCCCCAGCTCACCCCCAGCTCACCCCGTGAACCCGCTCACTCCCCACTCACCCTGCTCACCCTGCTCACCGTTCACCCTGCTGTCACCCCTCGAACCCCCAGCTCACCCCGCGAACCCCACTCACCCCCACTCACCCCCACCTGCAACCCACTCACCCCCAGCTCACCCTGCAAACCCCCAGCTCACCCCGCAAACCCACTCACCCCCAGCTCACTCCAACTCCGCAACCCCCAGCTCACCCTGCAACCCCTCGAACCCCCAGCTCACCCTGCGCAACCCCACTCACCCCCAGCTCACCCTGCGAACCCCGCTGAACCCCCAGTCACCCCGCAAACCCCACTCACCCCCAGCTCACCCTGCAAACCCCGAACCCCCAGCTCACCCTGCGAACCCCCTGCGAACCCCCAGCTCACTCTGCAAACCCCGCGAACCCCCAGCTCACCCCTGCAAACCCCGCGAACCCCAGCTCACCCTGCAAACCCCGCGAACCCCCAGCTCACCCTGCAAACCCCGCGAACCCCCTGCAAACCCCGCGAACCCCGTGCGAACCCCCAGCTCACCCCTGCAAACCCGCGAACCCCAGCTCACCCCCAGCTCACCCTGCAAACCCCGTGAACCCCCAGCTCACCCTGCGAACCCCGTGAACCCCCAGCTCACCCTGCGAACCCCTCACCCCCAGCTCACCCCGCAAACCCCGTGAACCCCCAGCTCACCCTGCAAACCCCGTGAACCCCCAGCTCACCCTGCAAACCCCACTCACCCCAGCTCACCCACGAACCCCACTCACCCCCAGCTCACCCTGCAAACCCCACTCACCCCCAGCTCACCTGCCCCCCACCCGTGAACCCCCAGCTCACCCTCCTCTTCACCACCCTCAACCCCTGCTCACCCCCCGTCACCGCGCTCACCTCTCGCTCCAAAGTTTGATTGATTAAATGCCTCTTTTCTTTGTATATGTATAATTTTGATGCCTAATTTGTGCACTGATAACTTGATAATGGGTTCTGTTTTATGGAAAACAGAACCCATTAACCCATTACCTCATCTTCACCATGGCTCTTATATTTACAACGTTTCAGGAGAAAATTAGTAGCTCAAAAAAAAAAAAAAAAAGTATCTCACAGTAGGAAAAAAACTGGAGAGCCCTGCTATAGAGACATGAGACGTGCATGAAGAGTGATGCAGCGAGCCCCCTGCTGGTCAGTTCAGGTTTAGTCAAGTTTTAAAATCCTGATTTGAAACACTTTTCCTCAGTCAAATGATTAAATATAAGATTTGTTTTTAAATCCCACATGGACCAAACTGTCCTCAGATACAACGTAAACATGTTCTAATCTAACGTAACAATTATAATGCTGCTGTTTTCTTAATTACAAAAACATTATGTGATATGTGATTATATTATTGTGACCCTTTTATTTGTTGTAATATTGGTCCTCAAAATGATGATCCAATCAGAAAGCAGAATAGTAGTAACAGTGGTAGTTTATTTTCTTCTGTCATGTATTTAATCAGGTAATAAACTGTTACAAACATTTCACATCAATCAATCAAACTTTATTTACAGAGCACTTTTCATACAAAAATGCAACACAAAGAGCTCCTCCATAAACCAGGAATGTCCAATACTTTTTACTTAAAATTTTTTGAAGCTCATCTTTAATATTTATTGTGCGGTTTTAAGGATCTTAGCGTGAATAAAAGGTCATTCTAACGTGTTAAACATGCACATATTTTAATTATTCACTGTATTGTGCTCCAGTCTACTGCCCTCGATCGGCCCTCTGCTTCATCTGTGTTTAGAGATGTGGCCCTTGATGAAAAAAGTTTGGACACCCCTGACCCTGACATAAACTATAACTAAATGGGTTTAGGCTGAGGTGAAATCACTTCTGAATGTCTGACCCTGTTTACAAATGATGATGCCAAGAATACGACAAACAACAAGGAACAACTTGGACAGTACAGAGAAAAACATATATACATAATAATAATAATAATGACAGTTACTTATGAGTTCAGTACAGCTGTTCTTTTGAGTAAACTTCCACTTCCTACACCTAAGAAGAAGAAAAAAGTGGCTGTGAAGTGGCTGGAATGAAGATCAGCTCCTGGTTCTCGACCTGAAAAAGGTGTCTTGCCCGGTCCAGGTGGGTGGAGAGTCCCTGTGGAGGAGTTCAAGTATCTCGGGGTCTCGTTCTCGAGTGAGGGGAGGATGGAGCGTGAGATTGACAGGTGGATCGGAGCAGTGATGCGGTCGCTGTATCGAACCTTTGTGGTGAAGAGGATTTACTGTGAACTTACCGTTCCTCCCCTCACCTCTGGTCATGAGCTCTGGGTAGTGACCGAAAGGATGAGATCGCGGGTACAAGCGCTTGAAATGAGTTTCCTCCGCAGGGAGTCTGGTCCCTTAGACATAGAGTGAGGAGCTCAGCCACACGGGAGGAGCTCGGAGTAGAGTCACTGCTCCTCCACATCGAGAGGAGCAGCTGAGGCTCGGGCATCTGTTCTGATGCCTCCTGATGCCTCCCCTGTCTCCCTCGGGAGGTGTTCTGGTCATATCCCACCAGGAGGAGGCCCCAGGGAAAGACCCAGGACACACTGGAAGGACTGTGTCTCTGGGCTGGCCTGGGAACACCTCGGGGTCCCCCTGGAGGAGCTGGAGGAAGTGTCCAGTGTTGAAGGAAGCTGTGAGTCCCTGCTTAGACTGATGCCCACAACCCAGACCCAGATAAGCGGAAGAAAATGGATGGATGGACTTTTTCCTTCAAAATTATCAACATTTCTCCTTCACACTAACCTGCTTCTGCAGCCTACAGAATCTACATTTCTAAACTCTCTTTGTTCAGGTGACACTGAATTCACACTGAGCAGCAGAACATCTGAGGCAAATAAACCAGAGAGAATGAAATATCTAACTTAAAATAGGCACCGAGACTTTTTTGATTGGTGTTATGCGAAACAAACTTTAAATGAAATATTGGAAATAGAGGTCGAAATCAGTTTTTTTTTTATTTGTTTGTCAAGTCTTTATTTCCGGAATGCAGGTCCAACTTGAAAAAAACCAGGGAAACAGACACAAGGCTCAACTCAAGGCTTGAAATAATTTAGTAAGTTTTTTAGTTGTAGTAGTAGTAGTAGTAGTTATGTATTGTAGTAGTATAGTTTTAGCTTTTAGTAGTAGTAGTAGTAGTAGTAGTAGTGTAGTTAGTAGCTGCAGTAGTAGTAGCAGGTCGAAAACCTTTAAAGTAAACAAATGTGTAATTAAATTAGCATTTTACAATTTCATTAGTTATATAATCCAATTTAATTTTAATTAATACACTTCAATTACAATATCATTTATATATAATATATATTATTTATATATATATATAATTTATTGTATTTTTTTATCTAGCACATTTCACACATGAACTTAAATAGCTATCATTTTAACCAATAATTTTTTAATCCTATAATTAACTTTTTATACAGTTTTAAATGAATATGAAAGTAATATTTGAAGATAAATTCTGATACATAAATACATTGTTTTTTTAATTGCTAAATAACATATATTTATATAATATTTAACTAGAGCTACTTAAACTTAGGATTTACATCATTTTCTTTAAATCTGATTTACTACTCTATAAATAAACAATTTAGTTATTCAACTTAACTCTTTTGGCATTTTCAAACTTAAATTGAATTTATTTACAGTTCCTTTTAAACTTAAAACTAATTTTAAAGTTAAATTTCCTCACCAGTAGTGTCTCTGTGTTTCCCCTCACATTCCTTGGTTTGGTTTGAATTGTTTGCACACACCTGGGCCTAATTAAATGATTCCAGAGACACACCTGGTTACCTTGTTTTTTGTCTTGCTGCCATCTACTGGCCAGACTAAAAATAACCTAATCAACTAATAAAAAGGGAGGGGAGGAGGAAGAGGAGGGAGCAGAGGTGAGAGGAGACAGGCTCTGGACTGGAGGTGAAAACTTGGTGCAGGGGCTGGGCTTTTTAACTTGACACTGTTTGACACTAAAAAAGATAAAGATAAAAAAATAAAAATAAAAAGTAGTTGTTAACCTGAAAACTACAAGGTGGAACTGGCTTTGGAGATGTAAACAGATTAATAAAGCAGGATTCCTCAAACATGTGAATTAAAAAAAAACATTCCAGGTTTGTTTTTGAGGAGGAAACAACAGTTGAAGATGACTCAAAGTTCACAAGAATCCATTTTGTGCATTACAGGACTTTTCAAAGCTCACAGCAGCTGTTTTGATCATATGTGACCCTTAAAGAGTTAAATGATTTAGTTCCGGATGTGGCTACAGGTGGAGCTGTGCACACAGTTTCAATTTCCTCAGAATCGAAACTGAAGTCACTGTTGTGGGCTTTTTGGGTTTCCCCTCGTGCAGCAGGACCTGTGATTCTCCACTGAAACACTCGGCACAGGGTGAGTTTGTCTACAATTATTCATATTTTGTTGTTTTTAGGTTTTATTCAGTGTAACAGACTCATAATAACACTGATAATAAACAACAGACCCACACACAGAGATCTGTCTGAAGGTTTAAGTGTCTCGTGGACTCGTGGGTGGGTTAGTCCGGGTCACATCTGGTTTAGATATTGTGTAGAACTGGTTAAGACCTGATTTAGACCTGATTTAGACGATTTAGATCTGGTTTAGACCTGATTTAGATTATTTTAATCTGGTTTAGACCTGTTTAAATGATTTAGACCTGGTTTAGATCTGGTTTAGATGATTTAGAACTGATTTAGACCCAGTTTAGACCTGGTTTAGATCTGGTTTAGATCTGGTTTAGATCTGGTTTAGATGGTTTAGTGTTCTAAACCATCAATCATCTGTGTGTATGTGTGTGTTACACACACACACACACACACACACACACATAAGGTTCACACTGTCACCAACCCCTGTCACCTTTGTCCCTATTGTGTGTAATCTTTAATCGTAATGTCTGTCTTGTATCTTGTATGTTGTTTGGTTCCTATTTGTTTGCAAAAAAAAAAGAACTAAAACTCTTAAGGGCCGTTCACACCAAAGCGTCAAAAAACGCCTTGACGTCTCTATTTGGAGCCTTTGCATTTGAGTTTAGACGCCCCCGACGCGCGTCTTTGACGCCGTGGACGAACGGGACAAAAATACTTGACGCGCGTCCGTTGCCCTGGAAACAAGAGCCCGGTCCTGGTCTTTTCCCAAAACAATGTCAGACCAGACTGACAGAGTGTTTTTATGACATAAAACATCAGTGGAGGAGATTGAGTCGACGACTGGGGCGTGTTTATATTTATACTCCACTAATGGACTAGTCCTGGAGTCTAGTCCCGGTCTAGTCCTGGTTTAGTCCTGGTCCGGTCCTGGTGTAGTCCTCGCGATCGGCTCGGTGATTGTGGTGTATATATTTATTCTCCGCTCATGTTTGTGGTTCTCGTTCTGGTTCTCGGGTCTTGCTTCCTGATAATAACGTCGCTGCGTCACTGGATACTCGTCCCTGATTGGTTGACGCGGCGCGTCTGACGCGAAAAGTTCAGCATTTTCAACTTCTTGACGTTACGCGCCGCGTCGACGCCAGATTCGCACCGCGCTGACGCCGAAAACGCGCCGCAAAAACGCAAAAACGACTTTACATTGAAAGTGGACGCTGTGACGCCTTGGTGTGAACGACCCTCCAATTTGTCTTTGGACTCTACATCTTAATTTGCATCAACAGGACCTTTTTAAATGTGTGATGGGTAGATGCGTGCGAACATGGGCAAAATGTGTTACAATTTAAAATTGCAGTTGTGCAGTTATTAATAGTCTGTTAAAAAGTCTGTTACTTGAGCTGGTTATGTCTTTATTTATACTTCAGTTAATTAAAACAATTGCAAATGAGAGAAAATACATTCTGCAAACATTAAAAAATAAATTGGGTGAGCAAAAGAAAATGCATTGTGATTGTGATAGTAAATGTGTTGAGCTAATGATAAAAACTAAGTCAGAGAAGCAAAAAAAAAAAAAAAATGCCTTGTGCTCATAAAGAGTAATAACTAACAAACAAAAATAAATTATTTGTTCTAACAAATAAAAGTAAGTCCAGGAAAACATGAAAGATTAATTTTGTGAACAAAATAATTTAAGTTGGAGCAACTTAATTCCATAACTTGAATAAGTTAGTTAGTCTTTTCAACAAAAAAGTAAAGGCATCCTGTTGCCTTAAGTTTTTTAGCTGAAACAACTTATTTTTATTACAGTGTATGAAGCATGGAGGAGGCTTGGTTTTGTTCTGGGGTTGTTTTGCTGCATCTGGCACAGGGTGTCGGTGTCTTGAATCCATGTAAGGTACAACGAAATCTCTAATCTATCAGTGTATTTTGGACTGGAATGTGTTGCCTAGTGTCAGAAAGCTTGGTCTTGGTTGTAGGTCATGGTTCTTCCAACAGGATAATGACCCAAAACACACAGTTAAAACACCCAAGAATGATTAAGAACAAAACACTGGACAATTCTGGAGCGTTAACATGTAACGACTACGTCTTAATGAATAAATGCAAATAAATAAAAAGTTTGGTTTGAGCTGGTTTTGAGACGATGAGCCCTGGGCAGCCGCACCCACTCTTAACAACTCACTACAGCACCCCCACTTAGCCCCACCCACTCTGACCCCTCCTCCTTTACTCTTCTGACCTGGCCTCCAACAGCAACCGCCAACAGGAGCTGAACAAAGGGCAGCCGAACACACTCTGAACAGTGCGTACCGTTGCCCTCTACAGCTCTTAACTGTTCATTAGCCTCATCTTTTACTCCCCACCAAAAATCTCCTGAACCAGCTCCAGGACCAGAACTTTCTCTTCTTTTTTGGTTTGGTCAGCTGATCTTCTACCGACAATGCTGTTTCAGGGTTATTTTGTGTTTCAGTTTGGTTCATATTTGTAGGTGGGGTTTCTGTTATTCTTTTTTGGAGCTCCAATAACTCTGAGGAGAAACGTTGTTCCCATTTATCCATCTCTAGCTTTCTGCTCTCACAAAGTGCCTCTTTCCTAAGTAGCTCGAGTTCTTTCTCATCAAACTCCTGCTGGACCTGCGCTCTCCACTTGCGATTTTCCTCTGCGCGTCGTTCCTCTGCGATTGCCCGCTCTCTCTCCTCAGCCTCCAGCGCCAGCTTCGTTTCCACATCTCGTTTCCTCCACTGCTTCTTCAGATCGTCCAGACTCATGCTTGTCTTTGCGTGTTCCTCGATCTCTTTGCTCAGCCTCTCGTGGTATGCAGCCACCTTCCTCACCCATTTCTTTCCATCCTTTTCTCTCTTCTCTTCATAATAAGTCTGCAAATTTTGTTCGTGCTCTTCGAACCTCAGTTTTAAAGTTTCCATTTCGTTTTCGTGTGTCTGTTTTGCTTTCTCGTCGCAGATCTTCTCAAGCTCTTGGTATTCTATTGTCCATTTTTCCTTCTCCTGTCTCAGTGCAATAATTTCATCACACAGCTCTTTGTGTCTTTCTTCAGATTCACGTCTTTCTTCCTCCATTTTTTCTAATGTTGTTTCAAGCTCCGACGTTTTTTGCCTACACATGACTTGCTCCTCCAGTAATTTCTCAGCGAAGCTTGTCTCTTGTTCCAAATACATTTTGCGCAGGGTGGAATGTTCATGTTTTAACTGCACATATTTATCGCTCAGTGTTTTGTCGTCTTCCTGGTTACTTCCTGAGCTCCAGTCACTGCTAGTACTGCTGAGCTCATCTGATTTCAATTTGTCCAACCTTTGCGCCACTGCCATCTGGACTTTCGACTTAAGCTTTTGTGCCTTTATTGTACTATGACCTAAAAGACGTTCCCTCCCTTTAAACCACGCCTCAGTCTGCAGCCTGAGGGACTGCCGGAGAGCCAGGTGCTGTAGCCTATCTTCATATTGCTGCTGGAGCTCAGGCAATTTGGGGAACATCTCTGGTTTTCCCTGGAGTCTAGCATCGGCATCCCTCAGAATTTCCAAGACCACATTCTTGTACACGACTTCCCTATTCTCCCAGTCTGTCTCAATCTGTCCCCAAGGCAGGTCCGTCTTACTCGTAGCCTGCTCCTTGGTCAGAAGATCAGCCTCTGTTGAAAGCCAGAGCTGAAATTTTTCACTCCATTCTGTCTCTGCAGTGTCATGGTCTCTCTCCCCGCCCTGCCACTTCTCTATCAAAGACCTAATTTGAGTTTTACCATCCATGTTAGTAATTAAAATTGTAATAAATATGGAATGATGTTGTGTGTGTTTGTTTGTGTCAAATAGCCCTCGATCAATACAAATCAACCTTATATGTTACCGCTCCACTGACAAGCTGCTGCCCAACCTCACAACCTACCTACTTCTACTTCAAAGAACAACTCACTTTATGTAATCTCGTCTCCATGGGAACCAGCAGAAGAAAGGATGATGTCATTGGTTTTCAAATTGTAGAATGTGATGATGTCATAAGGGCCGTTCACACCAAAGCGTCAAAAAACGCCTTGACGTCTCTATTTGGAGCCTTTGCATTTGAGTTTAGACGCCCCCGACGCGCGTCTTTGACGCCGTGGACGAACGGGACAAAAATACTTGACGCGCGTCCGTTGCCCTGGAAACAAGAGCCCGGTCCTGGTCTTTTCCAGAAACAATGTCAGACCAGACTGACAGAGTGTTTTTATGACATAAAACATCAGCGGAGGAGATCGGGTCGACGACTGGGGCGTGTTTATATTTATACTCCACTAATGACACTGGATCAGTCCCGGTCTAGTCCTGGTCTAATACCGGTCTAGTCTCGGTCTAGTCCGGTCTAGTCCTGGTTTAGTCCTGGTCCGGTCCTGGTGTAGTCCTCGTGATCGGCTCGGTGATTGTGGTGTATATATTTAATCTCCGCTCATGTTTGTGGTTCTCGTTCTGGTTCTCGGGTCTTGCTTCCTGATAATAACGTCGCTGCGTCACTGGATACTCGTCCCTGATTGGTTGACGCGGCGCGTCTGACGCGAAAAGTTCAGCATTTTCAACTTCTTGACGTTGACGCCTCGGACGCGCGTCTTGGCCGCTGACGCCAAAACGCTCAAGACGCGCCGCGTCGACGCCAGATTCGCGCCGCGCTGACGCCGAAAACGCGCCGCAAAAACTCAGGACGCTCTAGTCGCGCGTCCACATCGACTTTACATTGAAAGTGGACGTTTTGACGCCTTGGTGTGAACGACCCTCCACAATTTAAAATTGCAGTTGTGCAGTTATTAATAGTCTGTTAAAAAGTCTGTTACTTGAGCTGGTTATGTCTTTATTTATACTTCAGTTAATTAAAACAATTGCAAATGAGAGAAAATACATTCTGCAAACATTAAAAAATAAATTGGGTGAGCAAAAGAAAATGCATTGTGATTGTGATAGTAAATGTGTTGAGCTAATGATAAAAACTAAGTCAGAGAAGCAAAAAAAAAAAAATGCCTTGTGC